TTCATGCAAAATTGGCTGGTTGGTCTGTATACAAATTCATCTTTCAGTCTAACCTATATTATGAACTAGATTTAAACTCTTAAGAACTAAAAACGCACGTACCACAAATGCACCTTAAAAATTGCAAATATTTTGTATCTGCAGCTTAAAAAAACAGCCTCACATGTTAAATGTAATTTTTGAAATTTGATTAATAAATAAACTAAAATTTAGAACTACCATGAATATGCATATTTTCAGGCATGGGTGTTTATGTGTCTATATGTATACTTGTATACCCACATAAATAAGCATAAACACAGAGAAACATAGAAACTGGAGAATGGAAGCAACCATCGAAACAATAGATCTGATCAGACAAAAGGTTTAACTGATCAGCAACACAGAATATTTGTAAAATAAATAAAATAAAAATAATGTTGTTGTTTTTCACCCATTTTCTTTGACCAACATTAAATGAATACGGGCCAGCTAATGATATCACATTTAGACTTATTATTGGGTAATGCAAGTATTATTCTTGGCAGACTATATACTGAGATGTCAAATGAAGCATGAAGGGCAGTAAAAAGCTGAAGCTCCAGAAATGATGAATCTGAAGTGATTATTTAAATACAACAGAGAAGATAGTAAAAAATTTGAAATTCAAAGAGTAGCTTAAGGCAAAAAGATGTTATGACTATCACCCATAAAAACAAAACACTTCACAGAAGTGATAAAATAAATGAAACTGTGTGATGGCTTAACTTGCATAGATCTGAGATATAACATGGTGGGGAATACATCCACTATGTTCATCTTTAACCTTTTATAGTATGCTTACAATGGGAAATATTCACAGTGCTTTTATCAAAAATGCAGTATTAAACAATTTTTTTTTTTAAAAAAAGGGTCTTGAAGTATAAGGGGAAAAAATCATAGCAAGCTCTGCAAATGGCAATTTAAGTAATCTACAAACATGACCTACAGACATGTTCATAGACAATGTCCCACTCCTATATTGTTCAGGAACTTCTGTATCCTTTCAATTAAACATTTTTTTTTAAAATTACCAATTTATTTTGAATTAAAAGATGGGTGAAAAAACTAACTAACTAATGCTTTTTTTCTATGTAACACAAAAAATAACTTATAATCTCAAGCAAGCTTGTAACAAAAGAAAGTCATACAGTTAATATATTAAAAAAAAAAGTTGGCATACCACAAAATTAGTACTTTAAAATAAGAGGAAAATATCCACAGACAAAAAAAAATATGGCTTATCAAAATTCTGAGCAGGAATCAAATATTAAGTATTAGTCAAGCAATTTTAATCTTGAGAAGGATATCTGGCCAAGAGAAAATACTTTACAATGTAAATCTGTACATCAGTGGCGTAAATACCTTTCAAAAAGTACATGCAGTTTCAGGCTCTATCTGGATAGTCGTTTTATAATTATATACAAACAATTCAGAAATTACTATGAAAGCATTATTTTCACTACTAATGGTAGTTATCACTTCCGTGCATATAACCTGATATACTTCTTTTTAAAAGGACTAACATTTAGGAAAAGTTTTTAGAAGCTAATTCAAAATTTTATGTCTCCAAAGTAATATTAACCAATACCTTCCAAAATGAATGTGGAATTGTAGACCCCTTTTCTAAAAATTGATGTCCCATGAATCAGGATAAAAATATTTTCTTTTGTCTTAATTTAGACAGAGTACATATTTGCAGATGTAATACAGACATGATAGAAATAGAAAAATAAGGAAACTATTGTGGCAGGAAAATCAACATTTACTGACTGATTCACACTTCTAATCTATTTTGCCACAATATTAAATATTATAACAATATTTAAATTACCTAAAAATTTTACAAAAATTTAAAATCTCCCAGGAAACACACAAACATAGCCAAGTCGGATTCAACATTTATTATTCACCAATGTCATTTTACTTTTTTTTAAATTTGAGTTAACTATTTATGATACTCTACAATATGTTAACTTGTTTTCCATTTGCTCTCTGTATTTATGAATAAATATCTATGAATCCAGGTTTGCAGTTCTAAGCACAAATCGTGTTCTACATTAAAATAGTACAAAGGAAAAAAAGCTACCTTTCCAACAGTTTTTATTTAAAAAAATTAATTGTATTGATAAAATAAATATTTAAAAATAAACTCAATTGAATTATCTGATTCAACATATATCACACTCAATTACATTTACTTTATAAATATAAAGTTTACTCAATTATATTTATATTTACGTTCTTATTTAAAATAAGTATGTGATAACAGAAACCAGACTGTACTATTTGGTAAATACTGCATAATATCTACCAGTGAGCGGTGGCTCCAGTGATAGTTTAAATTGACACCTCCAAATTCCTGCCAGGTTCTAAGACAGGGATGTCAAATTCATGGCCCACGGGCAGGATGTGTCATGTGCCTCGCCCCCGACCAGTTTGGCAAAGGGGGAAAAAGTCCAGATACATCACGTGATAACGCGAGTTTGACACCCCTGTTCTAAGATTACTGGAATGAACATATCACTTTTTTCTTTACCTTTCAGAAATCTACCTGCTTGAAGTATAAGAATATCATAGGAAAAATATGGAAGGCTTTCAAATAAGAATACAAGAATATCATAGGAAAAATATGGAAGGCTTTCAAATAACAATGCTACTGTACTGGAATAGGTTCATGGCCAGTATTCCATCAGTTTCATGCCAATATTTTGTACAGTGTGTAAAAAAAAATGCAAATGATTTATTTAGGATGTAACACCACAGTGATTACAGAAGCACAAGTGTGCATTTTAAAAGTCTTGTAGCTTCTGATGTTACATTACCAACTCATTGATAAATACATCTATTTCATTTCTAAGTGTGAACATTTCATAGGATGAAAAGTCTGGCAGAGAAAGATCCTCACCATCATTTGAACACTCGAACTGGACTTCCTTTTCTGATATGACCAGTCAGAGAGAAAGGAAAAGAAGAAAACATGACTGGTTGGATTTAAAGAATCAATGCATGGAGAACAACATGTTTGTTGTAGTTTGGCTGCCTGTTTTAAAAATGCCCAATTTGCAGAAATGGGAGAACTATTCTGCATATGAATAGAATTTCCTCTTTGATAGGCACTGAAAAATGAATTCTTCTTTCATGGTGCCCGATGAGAACGGGTATGAGAAATAATTCTGAATATTCATCATAACACCTCCCACTCCAAGAATAATAGCTGCAAATTTCTGGTAGTAACTATCATCAGCACATCTGTTTAAATAGACCAATTTTAACCAAGACTATTAGAGATTTGCAATAAAATACTATTGAATACCTGAAAATATCAATAAAATACCAGAATTGGGCATGCAGTATTACAAATACATTAAGGCAAGGCATTTCTACTGAACTGACCAATAGGGGGAAAGAAACAGCCATTTTGTTCCACTGGAAAGGATAGACTTTGGATACAGAGAAGTCTCACATAGTCATTGGAGTTAGTGGAAAGAGGAGTAGAACATATTCTCAGTACCATAAATAGCACTCTGCAATAGGTCCAGCTAATCTTGGAAAGTGCACCGGCTGGGTCCAGAAATAAATCATATTGAATTTGGCTGTTTCAGAGTGGCTGCTTTAGATTACTAATGTGCTTATTCATGAAATATATAAATGTATGCATATCACAAATTCAATTGAAACATATGAGTTATATACTCCAAAGGTCAGATTCAAGAAAAGAAAAATGCAAGAGTAGAAATTTAACTCCAAGAATATTCAAATAAATGGAAAGATCTATAGAAATTACACTTCAAATAACAACTGAAACATTTTATTTAATGCTAATAATCTTGGTTCCCCCCCATTTTTCTTAAGCTAATTTTCTATGTACCAAAACATTATATATGGAACAATCTCTCCTTGTATGCTGTTCTAGGACCTCAGGCTCAGAAACTCTAGATCATATAGGAAAGCTACAATTTTTCAATTTCTTACTAAGTTTTCTTACTCAATCTGAACTTGTAACTGAGATCTTAAAATGTATTATTTTCTGCCCAGGTATACTGATTTCTTTTGGCAGAATACAGGTCAATGATTGGCCAACTTTGTGATAATTTTTTCAATGCTAATATCATAAAATGGATGTCATAAAAAATGAATAGAAAGGGATAAATCACTAACATGACTAGAAAGTAACTTAATTAACACACTGATTTATGCATTGCCCTTTCTTAAGAAAATACTCTAAGCAGTTCACAAAAAAATCTAAACATCTGCAACTCTGCAACATTAAAAAGTTAAACAAGTAAAATGTGTTACATTGCTTTTGAACTAAGTAATTATAAATTATCCCTGCCTCACCTACTTCTAAGTAAATATTACTTGCTGCCCCAAAAGCCTCTTGAAAAAGTATTCTGTTAACTGTTAATTTTCTGTTAAAAAGAAAGAGAAAAGAAAGAGAACTGTATTCTTAACTTTCTGAAATAAACAACAGGGCACTGGTGACACCATCCTCTGTTTGTATTTGGGTTTGCATGTGTGCACATATTTGCATGTTCTTGTGTATGTGCATACATACAGTATATAGACGTCTTAATGAAGAACAGGACCAGTTACATCAATGCCCAAAGGCATGGAATTTACAAGGTGATTTGATAGTGAAAAATTAGTGACACTATCATTAGCTGCCCTTTATATTTGTAACTTACCTTTACTCCATCAGGTTTCTTCAATAAACTCTTGGCTGCTATAAATTAAAAGGAAATAAATACTGTTAGTTGACTGATTTAAGAAGAAAACTATGAAAATATGTTTCTTTTTCTTACTGAATTCCATTTATCATTATTTGTCACTTTATTGTTCTACCATCTCTTAGTAAACATTTTCATAAGAATGTGATATCTTTCTTAAACAAACAACAATTATGAGTCATCCAAAACTTTTTGGAAAATATGGAGGGTGGATTCGGTTTCTACCGGTAACATGATCATTTTAAATTAGATTTTATCAAGCATCTAGCATAATCCCCTTGGGTTGCTGGTAAAACAAAGCAAATATAATGTAATATCCAGCTCTTACTCAGAGCTGTAAGCATCTTGATATGTAAAGTACACAAAAAGGAGAAACAGACAAAGGTGGAGAAAATTATAGGTCAAAATTTTATATGACCTTACATTGTTGATATAAAAACTTTTCTTACTGTAAATTCTACCTTCTAACTGTAAAAGGATTAAGCTATTATCACATTATAAGGTACCATACTGTATATGATAAAATACACTGCTCAAAAAAATAAAGGGAACACAAAAATAAGACATCCTTGATCTGAATGAATGAAATATTCTTATTAAATACTTTGTTCATTACATAGTTGAATGTGCTGACAACAAAATCACACAAAAATTATCAATGGAAATCAAATTTAGCAACAATGGAGGTCTGGATTTGGAGTTACACTCAAACTTAAAGTGGAAAAAAACACTTCAGGCTGATCCAACTTTGATGTAATGTCCTTAAAACAAGTCAAAACAAGGCTCAGTAGTGTGTGTGGCTTCCACATGCCTGTATGACCTCCTTACAATGCCTGGGCATGCTCCTGATGAGGTGACGGATGGTCTTCCTGAGGGATTTCCTCCCACACCTGAACTAAAGCATCCCCCAACTCCTGGACAGTCTGTGGTGCAACGTGACATTGGTGGATGGAGCGAGACATGATGTCCCAGATGTGCTCAATTGGATTCAGGTCTGGGGAACGGGCAGGCCAGTCCATAGCATCAATGCCTTTGTCTTGCAGGAACTGCTGCAAGCCACATGAGGTCTAGCAATGTCTTGCATTAGGAGGAACCCAGGGCCAACCGCACCAGCATGTGGTCTCACAAAGGGTCTGAGGATCTCATCTCGGTACATAATGGCAGTCAGGCTACCTCTGGCAAGCACATGGAGGGCTGTGCGGCCCCCTAAAGAAATGCTACCCCACACCATTACTGACCCACTGCCAAACCGGTCATGCTGGAGGATGTTGCAGGCAGCAGAACGTTCTCCACTGTGTCTCCAGACCCTGTCACATCTGCCACATGTGCTCAGTGTGAATCTGCTTTTATCTGTGAAGAGCACAGGGCGCCAGTGGTGAATGTGCCAATCTTGGTGTTCTCTGGCAAATGTCAAATGTCCTGCATGGTGTTGGGCTGTAAGCACAACCCCCACCTGTGGACGTCGGGCCCTCATACCACCCTCATGGAGTCTGTTTCTGACCGTTTGAGCAGCCACATACACATTTGTGGCCCGCTGGAGGTCATTTTGCAGGGCTCTGGCAGTGCTCCTCCAGTCCCTCCTTGCACAAAGGCGGAGGTAATGGTCCTGATGCTGGGTTGTTGCCCTCCTACAGGTCCTCCACGTCTCCTGATGTACTAGCCTGTCTCCTGGTAACACCTCCATGCTCTGGACACTACGCTGACAGACACAGCAAACCTTCTTGCCACAGCTCACATTGATGTGCCATCCTGGATGAGCTGCACTACCTGAGCCACTTGTGTGGGTTGTAGACTCTGTCTCATGCTACCACTAGAGTGAAAGCACCGCCAGTGTTCAAAAGTGACCAAACCATCAGCCAGAAAGCATAGGAACTGAGAAGTGGTCTGTGGTCACCACCTGCAGAACCACTCCTTTATTGGGGATGTCTTGCTACCTGCCTATGCTTTCCACCTGTTGTCTATTCCATTTGCACAACAGCATGTGAAATTGATTGTCAATCAGTGTTGCTACCTAAGTGGACAGTTTGATTTCACAGAAGTGTGATTGACTTGGAGTTACATTGTGTTGTTTAAGTGTTCCCTTTATTCTTTTTGAGCAGTGTATGTCCACATTGCTTATAAGTGACTGATAGAACAAACCTACTCATAGATAAGAAAGAAATTCCTGAAGTTTTGTAAGTGAAGAACTGAGGTAGAAAACATTTATTCTCTCTCATAGTTTTGCTTTAAATTATCCCATGTGAAACTCAAGAAAATTGATTGAGGCCAGCCCTTCCAACTTGGATCAAAAGAAAATAAAGGGGATTGATCAAATTGAGATTTTTCACAAGCTCATTTCCTTTCCTCCTCACTCCTACCTAATGGTTTGGGGAAGATTCTAAGTTCTGGATCTTGTGATTTAGGAATTCTCAGCAGCAGAGACAAAAACAAAGAAGATGGGAATAAGTATCAAGCTAAATTTTGTTCTCCAAAAAGGGACAAAGCAGAAAGAATAAAAAAAAGATCAAATGTTCTATGTTAACCCCCTATGATCCTGTGGCATGTCCTTGGATTTTTTTTAAAAAAACCGAAACCTTGTACGCTTAAGAGTAATGAATGTATTTGATAAGCTTTTGTAAATGACCTAGCTATTTGTTTTGTTTAGTTTTTTTCCAAGAGAAAATCAGATTTAGGGAACTTAACCAGATATGCCTTATTCTTCCTTGTCACCTTCACTTGTAGTCTTGTTGAAATTATATGAGAATAACATTAGCAGATATATGGAAAATTAATATTTAAAAGATAACTAAAATATTGTTAGAAGTTACACTTTATATATCATTATTTCTATATAAATGAAATTTGTATAGCAATAATTTTACTTGTCATATAAAATAAGTAACTTTTCAAATTATAAATGCATTTGGAACTGGATATTTAACAAACCACTTTGCGCAAATGGGTTTCTAAATTATATCATATAGTACTACCAAACAGAAATGCAATTATCTTAATGAGAGCGAAGCATTATCTGTGGCACTATTATCTTCTGAACAGAAGATATGGATAGGAATTCTGTTTTCGTGATGGCTGAAGAAAAACATACAAGATTGTATCTGCATAACCTATTTGAACACTGACTTTGCACTCTCCAAAATCTTCCTTCTGTGGCAAAAGGATTATGCTGCTTTTATAAGTGGTAATTTCATAGGAGTACAAAAGTCTGCACAGCAACAATTGAATGCCTATTGCATATTCCAGCACAAATGTACTTATTAGCATTGTTTAATTTTGCTTTCTCTATTGCAAAGTCTAATTTATGGGACAAACTGCATTGAAACTGAAGCAAGCTCCCCCTTCTCTATTGTACTATAGGAACGCTAATTATATTTCTTTACTGAAATAGAATTGTTCAGATTTTTAAAAATTGAGTATTTATAAATTTTAATATTTTCATTTTTTCATTTTTGTATTTCTTATTTAAAACATTTTATTATTGTTATTTTTGTACATTATCAAGAGCCATTAAGGAAATGAATGAAATATATATTTTCTAAATCAATACTTTGTGGTAACATTATGTAAGTCTTGCCACTTCAAGAACACAACTAACAAGGTTTTACTTATTATGTTTACCACAAGAATGTATTAATGCCTCTTACATTTCAAAAATAATAATATCAGTCTTCAATAATTGAAGTTGACTATTTGGCTGAAGCAATGAGGCAATGTTCCTATAAAACATTATTTGAGGAATAATGCTTCCAGCAGTTGCTACATAACTGGGTCAAAAACATGATACGGATAAAGCTAAAAAAAGCTTCATCCTAAAGAGGAACAATAAAGTAATGCAAGTATGGGGAATAACAATGTGCATCATAATGACTGGTTTGTGTCAGACATCATAACACAAATACATAATTGTGACTTGTTTGCAATATCATAATGCACCTGTTTTGAAATCATTGTGGATTATGGAAGCTACAGTACAGAGGTCTTCACTCAGATATCAAACTATATTGTAGCCAACTATAAAATATACATCCAACTCAGTAGTGGAATTCAAAATTTTTTACTACCAGTTCTGTGGGCATGGCTTGGTGGACATGGAAGGGGAAGGATACTGTAAAACAGGGGTCGCCAACCTTTTGGACCCCAGGGACCACCAAACTCATAATTTTAAATCCCAGGGACCACTAACCGGTTCTGTAGGCATGGCCTAATTTCTGAATGTGGCTTAGTAGTCATGTGACTGGCTGGGCATGGCTTGTATGTAAATATTATAAATATTTATATAAATATTGAATTTTTTATAAAAAAAGAGCAACTTTTACCCAAAACCTCTGAACTTCGCGCGGACCAAAATAAAAAGATCGCCCACCGTCATGTTTGGAGGTTCCGCATTTGGAGCTTCCGCCGCCGTTTGGAGCTCCAAACAGTGGCAGTGCTCCAAACACGAAGCCGGTTGCTAAAGAGCCAGAAAGCAGCAAGGGCGCCAGGTGGAAAGGACAGGGTCGCGATCACACGGAGATGCCCAAAGCGCAGGAGGGTGAGACGGAGGGGAGGGCGGAGTCGTGTAATTGACGCAGAGTGAAGGCAGTAGGACGACTCTTCGGGGCGGAGTGTTGCTTGGGACGTATGCGCGCTGCAAGGAGGGAAAGGCGAAAGCTCTTTAGCAAGGCATCGCGGTCTCCCTCTCTTGCTTGCTCTGAACTTCGCGCGGACCAAAATAAAAAGATCGCCCGCCGTCATGTTTGGAGCTGCCACTTCTGCGTTTGGAGCTCCAAATGGCGACCGCGCTCCAATCACGGAAGCGGCAGCTCCAAACGTGGCGGCGTAATGGGCAGAAGGGAAAGCAACAGCGGCGGGTGCCAAAGGTGTCTGCAGCAAAGGTGGGAGTAGGGAGCTCTCTGTGCTTGGCCATGATCGCCCGTTAGGAGCGGCTGGTGGCGAGGATGCAAGGGGGGGAATTAAGTCACCCCCCGAAAAGATGGCCTAGCCGTTTTTTCGGGGCTCAAAAAAAAATAAGGCCCGGCCTTATTATGTGAGAAACACGGTAGGATTTCACACTGTTGTCTGTAACACCATCAGACAAAAACATCTGCCGATCCTAAGTCCTTGGAAATAGGTGAACAAAAATGCCAAATCCATTCTGAACATCTGGCTGACTATGCATCAAACCATAAAAATAATAATACAAATCCTTGGGAAGGACAAAAATGCCAAATCCAGTTTTTCTGGTTAACTGTGAGACTAACCATAATACAAAATAACAAAGAGAAGTTAGAAAGACTATGGCAAAAGAAAGCAAAGATAGTACCAACAGTAATAGGACCCTGGATGTAATTCCAAACAATCCGCAGCACCATTTGAACATCATTCACATTGACAAAATTGCCATAAATCAATTGCAAAAGGCAGCCAGATATTTGGAACAGCTTATATTCTGGGACAGTATCTTCAATTATAAATTTATAATAAATCATAAAACAATGATACCTGCCTATATCAGGTACTTGATAAGTGGGAAAAAATGTCAACTCCAATCTGGCTGACTGTGTGACCCACTGTAATAATAAAATTACTTATTACAATCTTTGCTAATCTGGTGTCAGTTCTCATGGTCGCTGGAAAGGTCTTATCTAGAACAATGTAAGTAAAGTTAAATATCAGAAGCATTTTAAGGTTTCGACGAGGGGCCTTCTGCTCACATTGTATATTTGGCATGATGAAGAGATTATGGAAGAAATTTGATATACCCAGCATAGGAATCTAGCAGACAACTACCATACATTTTGAACAAGATGTTTTTCATCACATACTGCATATGGCAAGGATGTAATCTAATACAGGAAGAACTGTTTGAATGCTGAAGAAAAATCCTTCATATCATGTACCCAACTATTCCTCCAGACACATTTAAAAGGAAAATGTAACCCAACAATTCAAATAAATTTTTTAATAAAGTCTGTCAGGAATTTATTGTAGAATCCTTTTCCAATATAAATATATAACAAAATGTGGGAAAGGAGATCTCATGTTTGTATATTTTAACAAATATTTTCAAATCTTGTAGGATGTTCAGGTATAATATCAAAAGAAGTTAGAAAAAATATTGTAGAAAAGATGAAATAAAAAAGGTGGTTATTTCACCCCATTCCACTTATAATCAGACAATGCATAAGTCAAAATAAATATATTTGGTAAAAACAAACAGAATAGTATGTCAACAAATTGAAGACTTTTTAAAAATACATTCCATGAGTGCATAGCAACAGTTAGCAATACAGAGGCATAGAAGTGCACATACCTGAGAAATTTCTTGTAGCCAACATTGTTGTTAAAATGGCTCCCTGAAAATCCAACATAATGCCAATATTTTAGAAGATAAAATTATGATTTTTAATATCAAAATACAATACTAAATCTACTCATCTTAATATATGGTATTTATAAACATAAATATAAAGTGTATACTTTTCTTCTTATATTTGTTGAAGTTTTGCTTTCAAATATAGTAAAAGTATGTGTCAGTTATATTCCCTATTAAAAACATAAACTGGCAATGCTTGGTATTTTTGGGGGGGAAAGCACTACGACGTCATATTAAAAAGAGAGGTATGCTTACATTTATTTCAATTTCACACATAAATGCAAATTTCCTCCCACGTTTCCAAAGTACACATATATACACATACATACAGCTCCACAGAGAAAAGAGAGGAAAAGGAACATTAAAAGAGAAATCTCTCTAGGGCTCAATATAAGTGTGATCTGCTACATTATTTTCAGTATTGGAAAATGCTGTACTTCCAGACACAGTGAGCAAGAATTTGCAGATACAAATTGGGAAACTGGTTTTATTTTATTAGTCTGAATATTAAAACAAAGGAGTACTAGCATCAAATTCTACAACAAGGTAATACAAAATCTGCACAAAGAAGAAGAATAAAAGCCATCATATGTGTAAACTGAATACTTCTGCATATAAAATTAACTACTACGGATTAGTTAGAATATATTTTTGGAAATGCTATGAACAATAAATAAAGGAAATAAAACGATCTATAAAAATTGCCCTCTTACCTTGAGTTTTCTTCTTGCATTGAACTTCTTCAAACAATCTACAGTCTCCTGTCTGTGCATCATAGAAGCAACAGTAGAGCGTTGCTGAAAGACAAGAACAGAGTATATGTTTCAATGCATGTAGTTTTATCTACGGTGTTATTTAATATAACTCTTGTTTGGGAGATGCATCCAGAAGTCAGTGACAATTCTAGAGTTCCCAGTCAGAATAACAATGCTCCTTCCCCCAACATTTAAGTTCAATTTAATTTGTGTTGCCGCTAAATATTAGATTACCAATGGGGACTTTTTGATCTCTGAACGCTTTTTCTCTTTAATTATCAATTCCAATACATTATTCAGATCCTGCTTTTATACCTTCTGCTTTGTAGGGTTGATTTAGTTGCTTAATTAAAAGTACAAGTAGTCCTCATTTAGTAACCACAATTGGACCTGGCAACTTGGTCATTAAGTGAAGCAGTCACTAAGTAAAAATGCAACAATACTTACGACCTTACTTCAGCTTTCCTTTGCTTTATAGATATGTGAAGGTTGTAAATACGAGTTGATCATAACTATACTTCTTTATCACTGTTGTAATATGAATGGGCACTAAATGAGGCAGTTGCTAAATGTGGATTACCTATAGCTGTTATCTTACATGGCCCTTTAATAGAAAACTCATATATTGGTACTACAAAACACCAATTCTCTAGAGAACAGAGGAGAATACCATTAATAGAATAACAGAGTTGGAAGGGACCTCGGAGGTCTTCTAGTCCAACTCCCTGTTCAAACAGAAAATCCTAAACCATTTCAGACAAATGATTGTCCAATAACTTCTACCACTGTTGTATAAATTCTATATCTCTGAGGGTAAGCTACAATACTGAAGTTAAGATTTTATAGAAGGAAATCAATAGGCTGCAAAATAGTAAAATGGATTAAGATAATGTGGATGTATATATATATAATGAGTTGATAGTGGATGTGGATGAATAACCAAATACCTAACCTTGTATTTTGACCCCAACCACATGACTTCTGGGCAAAACTTAATTAATAAATACTGCTTACGCAGATCCATGGGTGTTTGAGGGCCTCCGATGCATTGATGCGTTTGGCAGGATTGATTGTAAGCATTTTGTTGATAAGATCTTTTGCTTCTGGGGTCACCGTATCCCATTCTGGTGAAGGAAACTTGAGAAACACGTATTCATGTAAAATCAAACCGATACAGCAGCCCAGATGGACGTGAAACTGTTTTAATTTGTGAATTATCATGAGAAGGTTTTGATAAACATCAAGTAAATAAATATGTCTTCTAGCCACGTTGCCATATTTTAAGAAAATAAAAGATAGAATAAATATCATGTCCATTTACCATTGTACATAAATGGCGAGGTGGTGGAGAGGATTGGTAGTTTTACATTTCTGGGCACTTATATCTCAGAGGACCTCTCATGGACTATGAATGCCAACATGCTTGTGAAGAAGGCACAATAGAGGCTGTGCTTCCTGAGAATGCTCAGGAAGATAAATCTATCTCAGCATCTACTTCTGTCCTACTACTGCTGCACCATTGAGAGTGTCCTGGCATACAGCATTCTTGCATGGTATGGGAGCAGCTCTGTAGTGGACAAAAAAGCTCTACAGAGAATCATTTAAACTGCCCAGAATATCATTGGGCTCCAGCTACCAGCCCTGGACGACAACTTTGCATCTCGCTGTTTGAGGAAGTTGCACAACATTCTCAGAGACTCTTCCCATCCTGCTTACAATCTTTGTGAACTATTGCCTTCTGGCAGAAGATACAGAACAATTAAAACTTGGACCACACATTTTCTGAACAGTTTTTATCCCAGAGCTATAATTGCACTTAACAATGAACTTAAGGACCATCATCAGTGAGCTGTTGGACAGTATTATTTGGTCTGTTGTGTGGATTCTTGTGTGTTTTTAGGGGGTGGGATATTTGGTGGGTGGGGGTGAATTTGGGGATTGTTATGTGTATGTGTGTGTTGGGTCTGGTCTGGGTGTTATGTGAATTTTGTTAGATGTGTATATAGGTATATAGGTACAATGACAATAAAGTATTAACTAACTATTAACTACGTCACGCTGAACTAGAGCTGCAGCTTTTGTGGGGATCTTTACTCCTTGAAAACAAAGCAAGGATTGTTTTGCTTCTTTTCTAGAAAATAAATCATTTTGTAGAGACTTTGAGGTTGTCTTAACGTGGTCTAGCGGATGATGAGACTTTTCTCCCTCTCTCAAATATGGCAATCTTCCCTCTCTTCCCATGAACTTACAGAAGCATTTGTACAGCTATTTCCTCTATTCACTTCACTTCAAATTCTTCCCATTCTCACAAATTGAGCAATTGAAAACAAAGTGAATGTTAAAGCACAGCACTAATGAAAACAAACAAGTTAATTAGTATTGAACTGAGACACAGAAAACCTGAGTCAAGAGTAGACTAGATAAAAGAAAACTCAATTGTATGAGGCATGAAGAAAAGGAATAGCTGTAATAGGTTCAGATAACCTTCCAAATAATTGGGAAAGATAATCTACTCTTGAATTGACCACTGCATGCAACTGATTCTTGTCTGTTGATTATGGAAAGCCTTCACGTACATTTCAGCATGGCTAAAGCCTGTAAGACTGCCAATCCTTCTGAAAGCAGGGTATTATTTTATGAAAAGCAATTTGTATAATGGACTCCTCTGAAACAGCAAGAAGGATAATCATGCTGCAGAAGAGACATTTGTCGATTTGGAAAAACATTCCAACAGGCATCAGTGCTTAAAAGGCAGGGTGGGAGGAAAACCAATCTTTTTTTTTTTTTTATGATTCTTGTGGCTGCAATTGACAGACTTGAAAAATATGAGCGGTGAGAAAATAGGATGGAAACATTGTGGGCGGGACCAGTTCTTCATGGCTCATTTCACATTTTTTTTGTCCCAGATCTACATAAACAAACGTGTAACGAAATCAAGACAGATTATAGGTGTGGGAATCTGTAACAAAATGTGGTCAATGAGTGATGTGTCAGGGATGAGCACAATACAGTGGCAGAAAAACTATACCAAGAATATTTATTTACGTCAGCATCACTAGGTACCTTCCAGCTCTTTTAGACTACACCTCCATTAACTGTGGTTGGTATGATGAATAGTGCAGTCTAACAGAATTGGAGGACTGTGGGTCAGAAAAATAGAATCCTCAAGCCGAAGGGTCAATTAGACCATCTAATTCAACCTTGTGCTCAACCAAGGAATCCAAGTAAATGCTTCATAAACAGGTGGCTGTCCTGCTTTTTACTTGAACATATATCTCAAAGGGAAAAAGGGAAATATATTGATAACTAGAGCTCTGGAAGGTTGATTTTAAGATGTAAGGGATCAGTTAGCTTAATGAGGGGCCTATGTGGTTCAACATGTTGTGTTAGACGGTGGTAAACAATCCCCATTCAGGCAACCCACAAGTAGTAACAGGAGGGTGACAGACTTCAATGCTCACTCTTTAGTAATTAATATTTAAGGCTTGCTGCCTGGAAGATTAATGAATTTGGCTATTTATCTTTTTGTGTGGTGTGGTATGTGTTTGTGCATCTTCGAGTCAGTGGCAACTCCTGGACACTGCCTGGACAAATTCCTGCACAATTCTGAAGAAGTTACCTGCCACTGTCTTTTTCCTATGGCCGGGAGTGGCTGGTCTAAGGTCAGCCAACTAGCTTTTTATGTGAGAAATTCTTCATTTATTGTTTCTAAAATAGATTTTTGACTTTGCTTTTAAAATAAATCAAACTACATTACTACATAGGACTACACGCCAGTCACCATGCACCAATGTACTCTTATTGTGTCTCTTGAAAGCACATGCTATAAATACTCAAGTCTGCACAATTACTTGAGTATCACTAGTAGTGTGTCATACTACATAGAAGAGAAAATACTACAAAGGGGAAAAAAATAAATCATCAGAACAATTTCAGAGGTTGGGAGGGAAGTAAGACAATGCCAGAATCACAAATACTTAATTGTGTTGTGTTTTTAGAGATAATAAATGATCATGATAAAAACAAAGAGAAATGGAGGCCTATGTTACTTACATCATAAGCACCGGCTTTGATCTGTTGATAGAGTCTATGTTGATCTTCATCCCAAAAGGGAGGGTATCCCACCAAGAGGATATAGAGTATAACACCTACAAATGGTATTAAACTATGAGTAAAAGTAGCACACATAAAGATTAACTGGAGATGATATATGGGAAACCATAATAAGTTCTCCTAGCATGTAAGGCAATGGATACTAATTTTAATCAGAGCAGCATGATGAGGAAAGATCAGCAGAATTTTCATTCCCTGAACCATCTTTTCCTGAACATAGGGTCCCAAGTACAGGTGCACACACATGCACAAAATGAGAGAGAGTGAGGCGGGGGGGAGGGAGGGAGAGAGAGAGAGGACAACACAGTTATCTGCTTTAGAGATAGGTGTTATGGCCCGCCAGAGGCCAGCAGAGCTGGTGGCAGAATTGGACAGGAGAAGGTTGGGAGAAACATGGGCCAGTCCTGGAGTCTGGGGAAGGCTCTGTTGTCAGAGGCAGAGCTGGGACCAGGGCCTTCCGACAGTTATCAGCTGCCTTTGGAGTTGGAGATCAGTGGGGCAGAAGAACAGCTGGAGCCTGTTCCTGATGTGCGCATGCACAGAGCTGCCAGGAGAAGGGAACAGTTAAAGAACAAGAGTCAGCTTGGGAGTAAAGGCACAGGTGGATGGTGAATGGCCCCTCCCATAGGAAATAAAGAAGAGCGAAAGGGGAATAGGGGTTTGCAGGAGACAATTAGTTTGTTTAATTAGTATGAAGATTTGTTCGTGACTCTCAAAGACTCATTGCCAAGTATTTTCTTGTACAGCATTGCACTTGGAAGATATCAGCCTGGCAGCTCTCCAAGCCTGATAAGGTCTGTGGTTGTAATTCACCCTTGAAAGACTGTTTGCCGGGACTTTGCTGGATGTGAATGATAGAAATTCACATTAGCCTAATAAAAAGGAGTTTTGTCGGGAAAAGGAGTCTGCTTCGTGATTTTGTGAAGCCTAGGTCAGAACAATAGGTATGCACTCACAAACCTCCTCTCCCCCCAAAAAAATTATAACTGGCTTACCACAGGCCCACATGTCTACTGGCTTCCCATAGGGATCTTTTCGTAGCACCTCAGGGGAAAGGTATCCTGGTGTACCAGCAAAGCCTGAAAAGTAAGCCTGCTTAGTGGAAATAGTAAGCTATTCAGAAGAAAACAAATACTAAATCCCTCTGTGTTTAGGCTACATTCTCATCACCTACTTTACTTTACTTTATTTTACTTTGCTTGTCTGTCTGTCTGTCTGTCTGTCTGTCTGTCTATCTATCTATCTATCTATCTATCTATCTATCTATCTATCTATCT